GGGACAGTGCTGAATCTTTATGGTTAGGAATTAAAATGAATTTAAAAAAAAAAGTAATTATTGGTGGGAATATGCTACAGGCCCCTGAATATAAGGGAGGAAGAGGTGATTCAACTATTTACACAGATAGGAATCTGTGTAAATAGTTGAATCACCTCCTCCTCCCTTATATTCAGGGGCCTTATGCAATCAATGTTATAATTATGGGGGACTTCAACTTTCCTGATATTGATTGGGCAAATTAAACCGCACACTTAAGTAAGGCCCGCACATCAACACATTGTGTGATAATTTTATCGAACAAATGGGGGAAACACCAATTAGAAAAAATGCTCTGTTGGATTTATTAACCACTTCCGCGCCACAATACGGCAGCCCACCGAAGTGGTTAAAACAAGAACACGGCTGCTGTCTAGATAAAATTGAGGCCCCGGCTGCAAAATGGTAAATGCGATTTAATATTAAAAAATGTAAGGCTACGCACATGGGAGCAAAGAACATGTCTGCAAATTACTACTTAGGGGGTGCTTCATTGGGGAAGTTGGACATGGAGAAAGATCTGGGGGTGCTCATAGATCACAGACTCAGCAGTAGCATGCAATGCCAAACAGTGGCCAGCAAAGCAAACAGGATAATATCTTGCATTAAAAGATGGATTTTGGCAAGGGATAAAAACCACAATTTTACAACTTTATAAATCACTGGTTTGGCCTCGCCTTGAGTGTGCAGTTCAGTTTTGGTCACCTATCCTCCGGAAAGAAGTCCTCGAGCTTGAGGGAGTTCAGAGAAGGGTTACAAAATTATTAAAGGGGATGGAAGGCCTGAGCTATGAAGATCGCCTCCAGAAATTAAACTTGTTCTCCTTCGAAATGAGGCACATATGAGGAGACCTAATTGCAATTTTCAAAATCATTAATGGGGACGACAATCTTAGGAACAAGATGTTTACACCGAGAACTTGATTGATGACACGAGGACACAACAAGAGGTTAGAAGAGAGGCAGTTTAATCTCAGACTTCCCAAGGATTTTTTTTTTACTGTGCGAGTAGTAAAAATGGAATTCCCTACCAGTCAGTAGCATCTGCTAATAGCATAGATACATTCAAGAAACTTTTAGATGAGCTTCTTTAGTCATTAAATATTTAAGGATATTGGAACTACTAGAGCCAAGTATACACACACACACACACACGTTGAAACTAGATGGACCCATGTCTTTATTCAACCTTACCTACTATGCAAATATCTGGTAAAGTGTATTTCCACTTTTGCAGCCAAATTGGGATAACACCTACTTTATATATTTGTTACACATTTCTCATTCACACAGCAATAACTTGCATAACTAGTGCAAAAACTTGCATAAAACATGGAGTCAATCATGAAAGAAAAGATGTTAACAGACTGTGTGGTCAAAAGCTACAGCTAGGGACCCTGTGTCCACCTTGATGGACCTAGTCACCCTAAAAAAAGGCCCGAGATATCGAAGCCATGCATCAGTGATGCCTCATTCACTTCCTAAGCCCCAACTACAGGAAGAGCCCAGGAAGCAAAGGGCCCAAAAAGAAAAACAAACCCTGGCACTAGAACACACACGTAACCACAACCTACTTTTCTAGCCTGGCAAATCATCAGAGCATCTGTGGAAGACTAACAGGGTTATTTACAAAAGGGTGAAGAGTTTGGAGAAGTGAACGATTTGGAAAAATTCTCCAATTCATTTCACTTTCCAGTTCAGCCATTTTGGCCTAAATTGTTCACTCCTTCTGCCTTCTCCAAACTCTTCACCCTTTTGTGAATAACCCCCCAAGTCTTTATGCTCTATAATCTATAGACCCAGGATTGGTGCTCTACCATGACAGAGTACAGACTCTCATGCAGGCAAACGTGCAGGTGTGCCAGTGCAGAGACAAGCACATTTTCAGTAAAGAAATACTGAATTTTTAGCTAATTGGAAAGGCTATCCAGGATTTCAGATATATGGTCGGACCAGCACCTGTTTGACTGAAGAAAAATTCTACTTGAGAGATCTTGATTCAGCAGAGCTGTAGAGAGACATCCTTTAGCCTTAGGACACCAAGGATACACAGAATTGGGGGGTTATGGCCACTAGAGAAAACTGGCCCCATTTCTTTTCCTCTTGTTTAAAACTTAATGTTAAAATCGTCCTGTAGGAGGCAGTATAACCCATGCGTATTAACTATCCTTTGCATGTTTTTACCTTTTTTCATCCATTTTGGCATCTAATTGCTGCCTCTTTGCATCCACTTCCTGTCAGTGATGTCTGCATTGTATTTAGAAGAGTGTTTTCCAATTGTGAAAACAGTGGACCATGCCTGTATAATGTATGCTGAAATGGCCATTTGTAGCCTCAATCAGAAGCCCATGTGACAGTATGACAAGGCTGAAAATCAATTGAAAGACAGGGTAAGAGTGTTGGCACAGGAAGTGCATGAACAAGGATCAATGGCAGGATCACCAGCTAATATGTTTATGAAAACTGGACACTGAAAATTATTAAAAAGGGCTTTTGCAATTGCTTGTTAAAGCGTATGGTATCTTAGCGATGGCGTTGGCATATGCTTTAATTACAAACTTGTACATGTCAAATTAAAAAAGAAAACCACACACTATTATTAGCTACAATATATTTTATGAAAAGATAACACAGATAAATGTTCAACAATAAGAAACGTAGGTAAAAGATGTAACATAGGTAAAAGACTATTTCTTTTCATTTGAAGATTGTCTGAAAAGGTCAGTAAGAGTTCTTTGAAACTTTGAAATAGCCGGAATGCAATATTGCATTACATGGCAGCATATCAGCATGAAATGTATTTTTTTAATAACTGTAGTTAGGTACAGTAAAAGTGCTATTGTGTAAAATTTCTTATGTGCACATATGATCCCAGTTAATTTAAAATAAAAATAAACTGTTACAACCATATTTGGTCCAGAAACACACAACCATGATCTGAACCGATGACTCCAAAATACTGAGGTCACTTTTAGTTGTTTCTCCATATTTAGCATTTCTAGTTGTTATTCTTTTCAAATGCATACTTAGAGACAATTTGTTCCTTTTAAGTGCTTCATGTGTTCAACAGGCAGGCATACTTCTTGTGGAAACACATATCCTCAAATATTATTCTTCAGTTACATTTCAGTGTCACCAATGAGTGTCTATTTACATGTACTTTCATTAGATACATATGTGATACTGATGAACTCTAACTATGACATGTATCATATCTAATGAATATCACATTGCAATTTAATATATTTAAACTGTAATATATATATATATATTTATTAGGGATGCACTGATACCATTTTTTCGTTATCGAGTACAGATATTTTTTTTTTTTTAGTACTCGCCGATACCGAAAGTCCCATTAGGAAGCCGGGCGGCGAGTCATCACACGCTGCCCAGCTTCCATAATGGGACTTTCTGTATCGGTGAGTACTGAGAAAAAAAAATAATATCTGTACTCTATAAGCCGGGAAGCCATCTCCATGCTCCCTCGTCAACAAGTGATGAGGGAGCATGGATCTGGCTTCCCGGGCCAATCGGGAAGCCAAGGGGCAAGTCATTACCCACCTTCCCCCCCCCCCCCCCCCCCGCCCCCCCCCCGGTACCCAGAACCCCCTCCCG